GGGGGCACAGCTGTGTGTGCGTGCGGAGCGCCACAGAATCGTGCACTTTAAAATAGTTCGTTTTATGCGATGGGAATTGCCCCTGAAAATAACAAACACGACCCCCAGAGACAGATGCGCAGACGGGAGCCTGGAGCATGGGGACCCAGGGGGCCCGGTGACGGGAGGCACGGGGCCCGAGCCAGGGGCTCTCGGCTCACAGATGGGCCGTGACCTTGGGGAGGTGGCTTGGGGAGCAGCGCTTCTGGGCTGCCCTGCGAAGGTGACGGAGAGCCCTCCGGGCCAGCGGTGGCCCCACTCACACTGCCCGGCCTCCTTTGTGCTCTTCGAGTCCCCTTCCCACGATTCCGTGCAGACCGACCACCCGCCAGCTGCTGTCTGGCCTCCCGGGACGTGGGCGGATCAGACTCACGCTTCCGGAGGATGCGGGCAGTCCAGGCAGGAGGGAAGGCAGGACGGGGGCGTGTGGCCCATCTTCGGGCACCACCCTCTGAGGACAGGGCTGCCACAACCCCAGCAGCCGGGCCCTGCCCACTCACCCCTCCCGGCCCTGAATCCCCAGTCCCTCAACCTGCAGCCCTGGGCCGAGTGCCCGGGTGACCGTCTCTGACCCTCGGTGTTTCCCTCTGAGATGGGGAGGGTGGACCTCTGCTGCTGTCCCGGCACCCCTGAATCCCTGCCCCCTGCCCACCTCGCTGTCCCTGGGAACAAAAGTGCTATCCGAGCCAGGACACCCCAGCTGCCCACGACACCGCACAGCGTCCCCAGAGCTGGCTCGTTGACCCTGCTCTACCGCAAGCCGCCCGTGACGTCCCCGTCACTCGGTGCTGCCGTCCCCTGGGGACGCCTGGCTCCAGACCCGCAGGGCCCTGCCCTGCTCCTGGAGCACCACCTTCGGCCTCCCCTGCCCCCGGGGGCCCCCTAGCTGGGACCCCACCCTGGACGGGACGCCCCTCCCTCTTCAAACCCCCCCTCCCCCAGACCCAAGTCGTGGCAGTGTCTCTCTTTTTAACCCGACAGGCTTTATTGTCGCAGATCCCTAACGTCAGGGGCCAGGGCGGCAGGTGTCTTACCACTGAGAAGCCAGCTGCCATAGGCTACCTTGATATTTTTTATCACAGAAAAACACACCTAAAATGTGCCGTCTTCACCGACTCTAAGCACGCAGCTCAGGGGCACTGAGCACGTTCAGGCCGTTGTGCGGCCGTCCCCACCCTCCGTCTCCAGAACTTTCCATCTCCCCAAACGGAAGCTCTGTCCCCGTGAAACACGGACCCCGGCCCCTCCCCCAGCCCCGGCGCCCACCGTCCGCTCTCCGTCTCCGGGAACCTGGAGACTCCAGGGGCCTCGTGTGAGGGGATCACACGTGAGCATCACGTCCCCGCGGGTCCATCCACGTGGTGGCAGGTGGCAGAGCCTCCGTCCTCGCCAGGGCCGAGCGACAGTCCAGGGAGCGGACGGACCACGTTTTGTTTATCCGTTTATCGGTCAACAGACGCTGGGGTCCCTTCCACCTTTTTGCTGTCGTCACTAACGCTGCCTCGAATGTGGGCGTGCAAATATCTCTTTGAGACCCTGCCTCCCATTCCTTTAGGGATGTCCCCAGAAGTGGTGCTTTAATTATTGCCAACAGGATTTTATACTGAGAAGAACACCTTTTAAATTCACTGATAGCATTAGACAGACCCTCCCCACCACACCCCTGCCATGCTGAAGTGTTTCTTGTTCTGAGGTCAGAGGGTCTGACCTGTGTCCATGTGCCCTGGGGACCCACAGCGAGAGACCCGCGGGTGACCCTCGCTGGCGAGCAAGTGGCCTGGGTCCCGGAGCCCGGGAGGGCAGACAGCACTGTAGATGAGGGTGCTTGGTAGGGCCACCGGCCCCACCAAGGGGCAGGGGAGGGTAGAGAGGACACACGTGTGCTCACCGTCAGGGACCGGCCCAGTACACAGTGTCTTCCTCCACTGTCACAGACCCTGGGGCTGTGGGGTCGGGGTGGGGCCCTCTGAGGAGGGGGTGGTGGGAGAGAATGGGGTAGGGCCTCACGGGGACCGGGGACCGAGGACCGGGTCTGGTCCATCTGCCAGACCTCAGACCTTGGGGGCCAACCTAACTCTCGGGAGGAATTCTGTTTGCCCAGTGATTCAGATTAATAAATACGTGCACGATGGTTTCAAATCAGCACGGCCCCACCATAAAACCAAATTTACTCTCCGCTCCCTTTCTCTTGCGTGGGAGAGCACGCCCCTGACCCCCAGCCCATCCGGCAGCCAGGGGCTCAGCCCCTCGGGGCCGGGAGGCTGACCCCAGCAGCGGGCATCGCCGGACGGCTCTCCCCGAGCCCCCACCACAAAGCAGGGAGGGACCGGGTCGTCTTTGTCCTTATCAAGGAAGCTCCCAGCCTGGAGAGGCCCAAACCTGCCCTTTCGGTCAACAGCGCCCAGAGATAATCCTTCCGCAGCTATCAGAGGTTCCCAGAGCCCCCGCCCACTTCCTCTTCCAGGCTGTGCGGGTCCTTGTTGAGAAATCGCTCCCTATCACCTGAGACCCGCGGTGACCGTCCGCAGCTGCCCATTTCTCAATCTGTGACGCCAGCAGCCACGGCACCTGCTTGCTGGGTGGGGGCTGGTGGGGCCACACCCTGGGCCCTGGGGACGTCCTGTGAGGCAGGCGGGCGGGCGGCAGGCGGGGACGCGGGACCCCCGTCCACCGGGGCCTGTGCTGTGATTTCCGGTACCGCCCGGAGAGGAAGGTGCTGCCGTGTAACCGCCACGGGACAAGATGTGACGTAGGAGGCGCCACAAACTCTACACTCATTCAATGTGCGAAAGGTCCACCAAGTGACACGGTGCAGAGTCAGCACCCGTTTTCGGGATTGAGGAAGCCGCTGCGAGGCCCTGACTCACCCGGAGGCTGGGGTGTGGGGTGTGGTGGGGTGGCGGACCCCCCACAGGGGCAGTGGGGGCACTTCTAGGGACCAAATGAAGCTCGGAGGGTGCTTTGCTGACTCGTGTCTCTGAGCGGCAGGTCCTGTGGTCACTGTTTTCCAGAGTAGAAACCTGAGGCCCAGAGAGGGTGACGCGCTGGTCCTGGGCCACACAGCCGGTGGGTGCTGGGACCAGGACACTCACTACCTTCTCCCAGAGTCCTGAGCGCCGGCCCGGGCCAGGTGCCTCCCTCCTGTGTCATCCTCAAAGTGGGATAGCCACGCTTCCTACCACTCAAGGGTGTGCGTTTTTGAAGGACTGAATTAAACAGTGAAGCCCCCAGGAAGCGTGCCGGCGTTCGGCACCCCGGCCAGTGCTGGCCCCCTACTCAGGGCCGCCAGGGATGGGGCCGGCAAAAGGCACGACCGACTGCTCTGAGATGGTCCGGGCCCGGCCTTGATCCTGGGGGCGGGGGAGGGGGGCCTGGCTTTGGGGGTGCAGGTGCTGACTCTCAGGGTGGGGTGTGCCCCAGGTGGTATTGGGGCCTCTCCCCACTGCGGGCCCTCGAGGGCACCAGGCCGTGGGGGAGGCCTGGGTCCCAGCCGTCTGGCCACTCTGGCAGGAAGGTCTATGCCCGCCTCCTCGTCTGCCAGCCCCACGGAGCCCAGTTTGAGAACAGCCACGAGGCTGCCTCCTTTTCCCACCCAAAGCTGGTCCAGGCCTCCCCTGGATGGAGCCTCATGGAGGAGCACGGATGGGAGCAGCCCTTAGGTCCTGTTGGCCAGAACCCAGTGACTCCAACAGCTCTGTGGGTCACCTACTTTGGGGTCTCAGCTGTGCCCAGAAACTCGAAGGGAAGTGACAAGCTCAGGGGGGCAGGCAGAGCGGTGACAGCAAGGCCTCCCCGCTTCTCCTCCGGTCCCCACGGCCAGGGCTGGGAGGAGTCACTGAACTCGAGCAAGCCCAGCCCTTTATCAGGCTCGGGTTGGGGGTGCTGGCAGTGGCCCGGGCCCAGGCTGTGCAGCCCCTGGGGACCCGAGGGCAGCAAAGGCTTCTGGGGCCACTGCCCTGGGCCAGGCCTGTCCCTGCATATGGCCCCTGCTTCCCACACACGGTGCCCCTCCTGCGTGTCCCTTCCCCGTGTGACCCACTTCCTGCAAAGATTTTCATGGACCCTGTTTTCAGATGAGGAAACTGAGGCTCAGAGAGGCAGCGGCGGGTCCCAGCCTGGCCCTCCCCCCACACCACCCCTCACTGCGCATGAAGCCCCCTGAGGAGGAGCAGGAGGGCAGAGCCACTGTGGGCTGGGGGGACTCCCAACCCTTCACCCTTCCGCAGCCCCCATCGTAGTCCCGGCCTTGGCTCGGTGCAGAGACATCAAGGGAGCGATGTGGGGGGCAGGGCGGCCCCGGCACCTGGCGCTCAGAAGTGCAACCTCTTGCCTCGGCCCGCCTCCTCACGGCGAGGAAGGGCCTTGACTTTTGAGGCTGGATTTTCATAGGACAGGAAAGTGCATGGCAGCCGGGTCTGCCAGCTCAGGTCGGGCCCCCGGAGGAAGGCCAGGCCAGCCCGACTGTCACGGACGCCAGCGTGGGCGCTTACCGAGCATGCCCTGGACACCCACGGCAGCCCCGGGCAGCACCTTATGGGAGAGGTGCCTGGAGGGAGTCCAACCCTGGGGAGGGGACGTGCCGTGGCCTGGAGGCGTCTGGGTGGCCAGCGGTGCCCATTGCCTGTGCAGCCCAGTCCAACCTCGTGCACACAGGGCATGTCCCCGAGGGCGAAGCCGGTGACTCAGATGAGACGGGGCTCGCGTGTGAACTCAGCTTGAGTCCAGGGCCAGCAGCGTGGACACTGGTTGACCTGTAACCTCCCTGCCTCTCTGGGGGTGTGAGACGGGCAGGCCCGTCCGTCCCTCACTCTCCCCTCGGCCTGGGGTCCCAGCCCCCACCCAGGGCACCAGATCCCACCGGTCACTCTCCTGACCACAAAAGCCACGCGCTCTTGGGAGCCAGCCCCGTCCACCCTGCCTGTCCCTGGACACCCGCCCCTGCCCTGTTCGGCCGCAGGTGACCGGGTATCCGGCTCCAAGGCCGAGCAGGGGAGTCCGGTGGGGGTCTGAGCGTCTGAAGCACCAGCCTGCGGGGGCCCCACTGGCTTCCCCACTGCCGTCAGGCTCCTACCCCTCCCATAGGAACCCTGGCTCATTCACACACTTGCCCCTTCGTGTCCCCCGCGCCCCCACCCTCCAGCAATGTGCCACAGGCGCTCTCTCCCACAAGTACCGCCAGATGGGGCCATGGGCAGGGGACGACTCAGAGACAGAGAACCAGGTGACCGTAAGAGCTTGGGAGAGGCCCCCAGTGCAGGAAGGGGATGCTCAGACAGCCCAGCCCCTCCCCCTCGTTGCCCCATGTCCCCAGCAGGGACCTCTGGTCAGGCCCCCTTGCAGGCGGTGAGCTGTGGGTCCTGAGGAGGGGTGTGGCCCCCCGGGAGGGAGGGTTCAGCCCCAGGACCCAGCACCCCAAGAGGACCCGACGCTCAAACACCCGTGGTCCGGGGCCGTGGGCTCATCACGCCATAATGCCTTCTCGGCTGGGCTCCCCAGCCCGGTGGGTGCAGACACGTCCACCTCTCAGGGCCACAAGGCCACATGTGACCCGAGCTGGCCTGGGGCTGCCCACTGCCCGCCTGGAGCCAGAAACCTCTGAAGCTCAGCCAGGGTCCCGGGGAGCGCCGAGCAGGGGGCAACGTCCTGTCTCTGGGGGTGCTGCCCCCCCGAGCCCCTCTGCAGAAGGGTGAGCCCCTGGCGGCCCCAGCAGCATGGGAGTCAGCGGCTTTCCAGCAGCAGCAGCAGCTCGGGGGCCTGGCTGCACAGAGGCGTGCCCGGGGAAGCGCCAGGGGTGTGGGGCACGTCGGGCGGGAGGATCCCTCCGGGCCGGGACCTGGGGAGCCCTCGGGAAACCAGGCTCCACCCGGCGGCCACGCCCATCTCTGC